CTTGTAAAGAAACGTCAGGAGATATATGTCCAGACTTAAACTCTTGAGTTTGATTTGTTTTAGTAGTTCGACCTTGTTACTTCATAAGCTAAGTACTGATGTACACAATATACATCTCGTAAAGAAACGTAAGGAGGTATATGTCCAGACTTAAACTCTTGAGTTTGATTTGTTTTAGTAGTTCGACCTTGTTACGTCATGAGCTAAATATTGATGTACACAATATACATCTTGTAAAGAAACGTCAGGAGATATATGTCCAGACTTAAACTCTTGAGTTTGATTTGTTTTAGTCTTTACGAGATGTATATTGTGTACATCAATACTTAGCTTATGAAGTAACAAGGTCGAACTACTAAAACAAATCAAACTCAAGAGCTTAAGTCTGGACATATATCTCCTGACGTTTCTTTACAAGATGTATATTGTGTACATCAATACTTAGCTTATGAAGTAACAAGGTTGAACTAAACGTAAGGAGGTATATGTCTCAAGAGTTTAAGTCTGGTTTGATTTGTTTTAGTAGTTGGACCTTGTTACGTCATGAGCTAAGTAGTAAACAGCTAATGTATTGTGAGAATCATGTATGATGTGGTAATGTCATCAAAAATGTTTTGATAACAGAAAAGATGCAGCTGTAAAAGAACAAATGATAATATATTCTGTTCACTCCTTGTATTTTTCCCTTACAGCAAATTTTAACTTTTTTTTTTTTGTTAGACCAAAAATGAATACTTTTAATTTTTATTTTGCTTGATTGCAGCTAAACATTGACATATTGAAGTAGTCAACCAATCATATCTCTTGTTTTACGATATAGAATCAATATCGCCCGTGTTAAAACTTTAGTCCTTTCTTCCATAGCACTTTAAATATCCGCTCCTGTCCTCGGTCGAAATCTGTGTGGATCTGAACTGCAACTTAATAGACTGTCCAACTTCTCTTGAAGGATGTAAAGCTGAATCGGTTTTGTATCTACCAATAGAAAGTACAAGAATCAACCTGAAGGGTGTGTCACTGAAGCCAACGTTTAGCAAGTGGATACAAAGATACTATGAATATTTTCAATAATGACAGAGAGGTTTCTAAATAGCAGCACTGAAACTTTCCAAAGTAATAATATTTAGAAATATCAGTGTAAACTTCTTGCAAGATCAGGATTGATGAATCTATAGCAAAGTGGAAAAGACTGTCAATATTAGATAATCTATTGAAATTATTTTATTTATAAGAATGTTCTAGATTATTTTGTAATATTTACTTACGGAAAGTTATCTTTAACAGTAAGTTTTGAAAGCATGTGATCCATACGAGATTTTATGCAAAGAAACTAGTTTTTCTAGTTAGTTGCTCGTATGGAATTATAAAAGATTGAAATAACTTTCTTAGTTTTAGAGTATTAACGTGGTTTCTCTGTGTAAAGTGTTTGTGGAAATTGATCCTGGTATTATGAAACTTAAGAATTAATTTTACTTATTTACTGCACCTCATGCTAGAATTGTTTGGATTAAGGTGAAATTAATTTCAGAAATACGTCTGTAAGAAGTATTTTATTGACGACAGAAAAACATTTTATTGGTTTGGTTTTGAAATGTATGTTTTATTGCATGAGAGTTCTTGAGCACTATTTCTACAAATTGATTTCTTGCTCAATTACTTTATCATTCTCACTTTAAACTAAACTGGCAAAAATATCTGGAATCTATTAAATCCATACAATATCTTCCAGGTGTGCAGCTGAAATTTTAAAAATATGTTTTTAATTGTACGGGTATTTAATGATATGCACCAGTACTCCATGATATCGCACGTGGCAGTAGCTTGGTACGTCCTCTTTGTCAACTGGTTGAACCACATTTTTTTAAACCTGTTCACTCTAGTTACCAGTTTAATCTGCAGCTTGGCACTAAAATAAGGTATTAAAGAAAGTGAAGTGTGATATTTACCTAGTGTTTTTATGAGCACTTAAAGAGTTTTACTACAGGTGAGTAAAATCGTGTAAAATTAAGTATTGGTAAAACACCTTCAGTTAAAAGACTTTACTTTCTATACTACTACTCTTCATAATCACCGACCCTAGTGGTGTATAACAGAGTTTGGCCATTTTGTTTTTAATTATGTAATTTTTTTTTATTTTCTGCAAAAACACCTAAATAACTTAAAAAATGGATAAACTCAGTAACTCACTACTAGAGAGCACTGATTGTTCAACAGTGCCGTCACTTCTTTCAATAGAACACGAATGAAGCAATATTGTAGGTGGAGGGTGATACATATTTCTGGGAATGATATTCAGGATATCAAGGTTTTGATCACTTGTATTAGTATCAACTTTTAATGCAGGAGAGTTAATGTTCTTCGCAACATTCTGATTTCCTTTTTAGCTCCAACCCAGAAAGTTTGTCGTTGTGAGGGTATTCCTTCTATTTGTCCATGATAGTCCACTGCTACTTTCCAGTTGTTGTACTAAGTTCGTTGAGTTCCAAATAGTGTTCCGATAGTTCTGTTAAACTCCAGAATAGGTTCACTGCCTAATAGGTTCACTGATGTATTCGTCAACTAGTTGAATAGTTCCATAATTTCTGAAAATCTTTAATTCAAATACTTGCAGATAAGATCCCTGAGGAATTTCTTTATCAAGCTAAATAACCCCACTGAGCACCAGCTGTTTTCAGAATAGGTAAATTTGTATTCTTCTGTAGTCGTTATTTGTTTACATTTTTGAATTTCGTAATGTGTCTTCGCCAAATACATTTGGTGGCAGTATATGTCCCCCCCCTCAACAAAAATGTCCAGGTATAGAGTTAAATTAGGCAGTATAGATGTGGCTACAATACCACATGTGATCTTCAGGCTGTTGATTAATGGGACTATATGATTAATTGTAACACCTATTTCTAATACACAAAATCTTGTAACAGGTGGCCATATAGGCTAGTCAATGGAGCTCAACGTTAAATCCAGTTACAGTAGGTTTATATTAAATCCAAATGTACAGTTGCGAGTGGAGTACACAAGTCACTAACTCAAGGAAGCTTAAAGCTAGAAATGTACAGTTGCGAGTGGAGTACACAAGTCACTAACTCAAGGAAGCTTAAAGCTAGAAATGTACAGTTGCGAGTGGAGTACACAAGTCACTGACTCAGGGAAGCTTAAAGCTAGAAATGTACAGTTGCGAGTGGAGTACACAAGTCACTGACTCAGGGAAGCTTAAAGCT